GTGCATTTCAGTTACGCTTTTTAAAACCCATCAGGCCTGCAGAAGGCAACAGTACAAATCATACAGCTACAGGAGGTAAAAGAACAAAATTCACCCCGTTTTGAATGGAAGAAGTGACGCTGATGCAAAGTAGTTTTGGAAACGTCACCTCAAATGCGTGAAGATACATCCACCCAGCTGCTACCAACAAAGTGTTTCATTTTTCATTTTGCTTTCCACAAATCCCAATCCTTAGCATGTCATCTATTTAGCTGAGTTACTGCAGCCTTGCTTCCAGTCTGTTGTGTGTGAGGACTCCAGCAATGGTGCAGGGGCACGAAGGGCTGTCCTGGGCTCACCTTGTGCTAAGAATACTTGGTGCAAAGAACGTTAGACAGCAACTTGGCAAAGCATTGGGTACTCTTGTTTCACTTGGACCTTTGTACTAGTTTGAGATAGGGAATTTAAAGCAATATGATTTTTAAAATGCAGATTTGCTGCAATATCGTTAGCGTTTTAAAATCCCCTTTGCGCGGTAAAATAGCATCTTTGTGATTTATATTTCTGCAGGTTTCTCGGTTGCTAGGTGCTTTCAAAAACCAAAAAAAGGTGACCAGAAGTTTTGGTAATGCTGTGAGTATAATAGTCCCATTTTTTTCTTTCATGAAGTTTCTCAATAAAGGGGTTTGGAAATTTCGTTGTTATTTTTATATTCCCCAAAAAGAAGGGCCAAAGAAGTGAACATAACGTGCTCTTAATGCCATCCTGGATTTACATTGGTTAATCACTGTCACTGGCAATTGTATATTAAGTGTGAGTGATAATACAAGAGGCTTTGGCAAAAGATTCAAGTGGCATGAAAGTTCTCATAAAATACAGACATAAACCAGTCTTCTGAAATTCATCTGGAAATGAGCAAATATTGGGCAAAACAGAAAGATTGTTGAGAAGCTTCTCATTTTCTTTCTTTTGCAGACTTCCCTCTAAGCACTAGATTTACTTTACTGCTGCTTTTAGAATACCTTGCATCTAAAATTCTGCCTTTTCAAGGTCCTCTTTAAAGTATCTTAGACGTTGATTGTGTATTTCCCAGTAGCTGTTTTACCTTCTTTATGTGTCTTTGTTTGAAGTGCCCATGGGCCTTTTTTTTCAGTGAAGGCAGGAGCAGGGCTCAGCATTGCTGCACATACCTTTAAGCAGGATTTAATTTTAAAGAGGAGCTGTGGCTTCTAATTACAAGTTTTGTGCACCAGCTAGAAAAGAAACCAAAGGGTCACTTATACAGTACAGAAGGAATCAGGTGAGGCACCTCTGGCTCTGTTCATAACACACTTAGCTCAGGTGGAGTCTTGCAGTGCTGTAACAAAGCTCTGGGGTTTTGTCGTGCACTGTGAATTTCTCTGGCTCAAATGAGTCAAAAAAATCAGTCAAGATGTATTGAAATTCTGAATATTTTGTGTGGAGAGGGGTGGTAACATATCTTGTCAGTAGATTCAGTCTGGAGTTTTGCAAATAATATCTGAGCTGCCTTTTTCTTAAGTAATGAGAAGCGCAGACAAAACTGTTGGAACTCTTTAAATAAAGCAAAAAGGGCTGGGGCATGTACCTCAGACTAGTGATCATAACTTATTCTTTTTTTCATCAAAGCACAGTACTTTCTTCCCCCGTTATTCGTTGAGCCTGAGCTGTGCAAAGAAAGAAAAAAAGACTAAGAACATGGGAGGAAAATAAACTAATATTGTCAAAAACGGGTCTGAGATTTTTAGGAGGTCACTTGAGAAGTTTGCATTGGCATGACCCTTTTTTTTTCTTTTTAAGATGAATGCAGCTTCTCCTATCCCTTAATCTTTTCTAGCATGTGTCAGTGTTACACAGCACATGTGTAACAGAGCCATCACTAGGTAACACCACCTCCTCTTCAGGTTTCCACAGAAACCATGCTGAGATCATTCATTCCAAGGAGTACTGAGCAGGAACCTGCCTTTCACATTCAACCTCTGTTTTGAAATAGGAACAGATAGTAGGCAAATTTTTAAACAATTCTCTCAAAACATTTTCACAATCCCTTGGAAAGCAAGGGAGTTCATTCTCACTTCTGTCCAGGACTGCTATTCTTCATAGTGAATGTTTGGTAACTGAAAATTTCTCTTGTTTTCTGATAGTTATTTGGTTCCTACAACACATGAAAATGTTTTCTGTGCAGAAAACAAACATTCATTTGTTGTACTACTGATATTTCTTTACCTAGGTACAAACAGTAACTTTAATCCCAGGAGATGGCATAGGACCTGAGATTTCTGCTGCTGTCATGAAGATCTTTGATGCTGCCAAAGTAAGTCTCGTTTGTCTTGCTATAAGAATTGTAATTTTAACTACAACAACAAACACTAACTAGGCATGTTTAAAAAGTTTTCCCTTTAGCTTCCAAAAGATAAAGTAATATTTAAGCTATTAAAACTTCTTGAGAATAGAGTTCAAAGCTTTAAGTAATAGAAGACAGGAATGTGATATCAAGGCAGGGCTTGAAACTGTTACGTGGCAGACAAGTAGAGAGTTGAGAGCAAATGCTGTGCCTAATTTTTGGGAATATGAACTCAGTGTATCATGTGATACTCAATGAACTCAGTGTATCACCTGGCTGATGTAGTAATCCTGAGGAACTGATAAGAGCCTGTTCTTTCATTGATTGTGCTTCCAGTGCAGGTGAAAGTGTGTGTGAAAGGACTGGCTTGTTTTTAGGAATCAAACTGCTGCACTGCCAAACACATCAACTAAAGTGATATGAAAACTCACTGTATCCAAGAACTGTGGGCCTGCCCACCTGAGGAACTTCACCAGAATTGGTCAAGTTTCCTTGAAAGGAAATGGAGCTCTTCAGGCAAGATGCCTGTTCAATTGTTCCACATTAGTAACAGCACCAAGGCATATTCCCTTTCTATTACAACTATCCAGCCTAGATTTACAAAAAGTGAATTTCTCTTTAGTGATGTTGTATCTTTTCCTTTATGGCCCTCCCTGCTGAAGTGAAGGGGTGGCAGCCTGTCTCCACTCAGAAGATTCCTGTGGTGAATGCAAATTCAGAAACAATTGTGGAACACATGCAGATTTTCAGTTAGATAACAGATACATATCTGTGTCATGTACTGTGTTCCAGGCAGGAGAGATGATGAGTTCTCAATGAATTCAGTTTCCAGATGTTGTCTCTTGTATACAAAGAACTCACCAGCTCTAAAAACTTGAAAGAAATAGCACCTGTCTTGCAATTCTAACCATTTCTGTGTATATGACACCTAGGGAGGCATTGTGGGATTCAAGTTTATGACGATGTGCTGGTCATACTACTTCATTTTCACTTAATTGTCTTTTTTAAACACTGCTTTAGTTCAAACATCTCATGCTTACTTTCGCTCACCAGAGAAAATTTGTTTTATGAAGACCTGGACAAAATTCCTAATGCACTTTTTTATGAAAGGAAAGTTAAAACTTGAAGCAAAAGTCATGCCATTTAAGTTAACATGGAGTATATGTGTTTAGGCTCCTATTCAGTGGGAAGAAAGGAATGTTACAGCTATCCAAGGACCAGGAGGGAAGTGGATGATACCCCCAGATGCCAAAGAATCCATGGATAAAAACAAAATGGGATTAAAAGGTATTTTAGGGGTTAATACACAGATATTAAATACTGTTGTTTTTATCATGAGTCTGACTTAAAGCCAAAGTTCTTCATCTGTAGCACAATAAAATGGGTAATTATAGGGGACAGCCTGTCCTGTTGTCTGTAATCTTGAAACAGTCCTTCATTTCCAAGCCATACTTTTGATAGTTCTCATAGCTGAAGGTGGGTATTACTACATTCCAACCTTTGGACTCTCTGCAGAAGGCATTTCTAAGATACACAATACCACACAATAACTGTATTCATAATGAGCAGTATCTTTATATGTGTTTTCAGTGAAAACCTTTAGTAAATTCTCCTATTCCATGTCAGGATTGCGATTTGGCCTTTAAACAGCTGATTGATGTCCCTGTGCAGCACTTGATAGCACAGAGAGTTCCCTGGCATTTCAGCAGAAGGGTTACATGGGAATTTGGAGATCCTCTCCAAGAGTACACTGGACCCAGAGTTTCAGCTCTCAAACCCATGCATATATTTTTTCATCCAGGGCCTTTGAAGACCCCCATTGCCGCAGGGCACCCCTCCATGAACCTGCTGCTGCGCAGAACCTTCGACCTCTACGCCAACGTGCGTCCCTGCGTGTCCATCGAGGGCTACAAAACCCCCTACACGGACGTGAACATCGTCACCATCCGCGAGAACACCGAGGGCGAGTACAGCGGCATCGAGCACGTGGTACGTGCTGCAGGGCTGCCTTCCTGGGGGCTTCCTGTGTCAGGGGTCCTAACTCTGCCCACCTCAGGGGGGTTCAGGGTGGTTTTTGTTTGGCGCTTTCCCTCTGAAATGCAGTGTTGGGACTGCCTCCCTCAGCGCTCTGCTCCCTCAGAACTCTGCTCCCTCAGAACTCTACTTCCTCAGCATTCTGCTCCCTCAGAACTCTACTCCCTCAGCATTCTGCTCCCTCAGAACTCTGTTCCCTCACCACTCTCGTCCCTCAGCGCTCTGCTCCCTCACCGCTCTGTTCCCTCACCGCTCTGTTCCCTCACCGCTCTGCTCCCTCAGAACTCTGTTCCCTCAGCGCTCTGCTCCCTCACCACTCTGCTCCCTCACCACTCTTCTCCCTCAGCGCTGTACTCCCTCACCACCCTACTCCCCCTCATCCCAGTGACTTGAAGAATGATCTTACACTTTTATGCCGATGTAATCTGTCTCTCAGATCGTCGATGGGGTTGTGCAGAGCATCAAGCTGATCACAGAGGAAGCCAGCAAGAGGATCGCAGAGTTCGCTTTCGAGTACGCCAGAAACAACCAGAGGAGCCACGTCACGGCTGTGCACAAGGCAAATATTATGTATGTCCACACTTCTTTTTGAGGAGGACAGAATAACAACATGCATTTAATTACAAACAACTTGTTAAGTCTTACTCAAATGTGTAACTTCTGTTGATGCCACTGGGAGTAAGTAAAACGGCAAAAGAGTGAAGTAAATTCCTCCTAAGTAAAATGGGCCATACTGACCCAGTGTTGATAAGGCTACAATAATGATGTACTGATGTACTTACTAGCAAGTTTTTAGGAATCTTTTCGTGCAAAGCTCTTATTTTATAAACTTTTACACAAGGCAAATTAGTTTAAAAACTGAGGATGAAAGTGGCTAGTGTCTTTTACAGTTTCCAAGCCTGAACTGAGTCATAACACCTGGGATGTGTGACACCACTGAGCCTTTAGTAAAGGAATAGAAGGCATTCTGACAATGAATGTGTATGGCTGTCAAACTACTGACACAGAAGTGTTTTAGGAGGAAATTTAAAACTTCTCTGTAATATACTTAAAATATTAGTTATATTTAGGAGACAGTCACAAATTAAGTTTCTGCAATCTAGTATTTTTATTTAAATCTCTGTTGCATGCAGTTTTCTTTACCTTGAGTACTGCTTCCTTACAATAAATGCAATGTTATCTTGCTTATCTAATTGCAGGAGAATGTCTGATGGGCTTTTCTTGAGAAAATGCAGGGAGGCAGCAGAAAACTGTAAAGATATTAAATTTAATGAAATGTATCTGGATACTGTGTGTCTGAATGTGAGTATTTATATATTTTAATTTTTGTTGAGGTTTTTTTTGTTGTTTAAATTCTTAACCTTAATGAAACTATACTTCCTTCTAGATGGTTCAAGATCCATCACAATTTGATGTGCTTGTTATGCCAAACTTGTACGGTGACATCCTCAGGTATGGAGATTGTAATTTCAACTAACCCAACACATAAAATACTGATACTTTCCCAACAGTCACTGAGGTTATGTGCAAGCCAGATGGGTGATCTATGCATCCAGAGTTGAAAACTTCATAATCCAGACTTGAAGTGGGAAGAAAGGATGGTATTATTACACTTCAATTATTAATGTATTGTTGGGTGGGGCTATAGGATGAGAATGTGCTTCTTATTTAAAAGAGAAGTTGCTGCTTATGGAGTCTATGAATATTGTTCAGATAGGGCAGAAGAGAAATTTCTCCAAATGTGTGGAGAATGTAATGGCTTACATTGCAATCAAGAGTGCTTGGTTAGAGATTAGGGAAAAACTTTCTCATCTTTAGCACTAAAATAGATTTTGTAGGGTTACTGTGGGACCATGATGTGTACAGAGAGCTACTCACACAGTCAAATGATTCTGCAGAGTCACTGAAGAACCAAATGTGTGGCCTCTTCATATCCTACCAGCTCTTGTTTTATGTATTATGTTTTCTCCTTACCTTCAAATGAAATTTCATATTTGAACTACATTAATGCTGGAGGAGCTTGGTCTCTTGAAGGCAAAATCCACCAGCACACATTTTCCATTCTGTAAAATGTTTAGGTAGAGTGTAAATTCCATCAAATACTGTAAAATGAAGTGTCCCATCTGAACTTTAGGTGTGGAACATAACATGGCATCTCCTTGCACCTTTTAAGGAGACATTGAGAAACCAGCCTGATTCAGGATTTGTTTTAAAGTTCAATGACTATTTACATCTTAGAACCCATCTCCTGTTTGTCTACAGATAATAAATTGAGGGGTAACTTACATATAAGAAGAAATGCTTCTTAAGCTCTTTTAAAACTGCCCTCTCTCTGTGATAAGGCTGTCTGTCCACTCCAGGAAAAATCAGGTTCCAACTAATGCTTCTTGCTGTAAGAATTGGTAGAGGAGTGCCCAGGGCCCTCACAGCTGCTCTTAGCTGTTAACTAAAAGAGATCAAATCACGAGTCCATCATCAGTACTGTTGCAGCTCCCTTCACATAGTTCAGTTTTAAAGTTCTCAGAGAAATTCCATAAAAGATTGCAGTTCTAAAAATTTGCAATAAATCTGAGTCTGTCCTTGAAGAGGGCACTGTGATCACTGGGTAAGGCCAGCATGAGCATAATGCCAGACAGGTTTCTTGGTCTGAATAGGTACAGAAGGAAATGTCTTTCCTTGAAGCATTTAATAGTTACAGTGACAAATTCAACTGTATCCTTTTTTTCCCCAGACTCTATAAAGCTTTATTTTAGATTAAACTCACAATATTGTTCTGTAAGGTCAAAAAGACTTTTCTGCTTGTTAGTCCTTGCTGAGCTGAGTTGTGGGCAATGTGTATATCTGTGAAAACACCCAAGTTTTAAGAGCATTGTTTGTCAGTATGTTCAGCTCTGAGGGCACAGTTGGTTTGTCCTTCCCCATGTTAATTTTGGAGGAACCCAAATGCAGATGGCTGATGACCTGCTAACGTCAGACTGGTGACTTACAGGCTGTTCAGGAAAGGGAGGGGGAAAGTTAGTCTGGTGTCACTTGGAAAATGTCCCTTAAACTGCACACAAAACACTACAAAACCACTGGTAATTCAGCTACCCGAGGAAAATTCTTCCACCTTTTTTTAGAAGGACTTTACATATGAAAAGTAGTTCTGTGGCCTCTTCAGAGGAAATAAGATTTCTGGATAGTTACAGGGAGCTGTACATTACAGTTTTTACTAGTTTTTTAGACTCCTACACATATTCTGTGCTTTTAGTACTTCTTGTTGTGCCTGGGTCTTACCAGCTCTATCCTAGAATTTGGAATTTCCTTTTGATTTTCCTTTATTACATTGCCTTCTGCTGGTAGTCCTCAAAATTTCCAAATGTTCTAATGGAGCACAAGCATCTGTTCTTAATATTATTCTCAGACTGTGTAGGCGCATAAAGTAAGTTACAGTTGCAGTAGATTGATAAACAAATATTTTAATACCTTACAGAGAGGTAACTCTGTATGGAAAAACTTGTGTTCCTTTCATTTGATGGTTGGGTTTTTTTCAGTGACTTGTGTGCTGGGCTGATCGGGGGCCTGGGAGTGACACCCAGTGGGAACATCGGGGCCAACGGAGTGGCCATTTTTGAGTCGGTAAGTTTTGTTATCCAAGGGGGGGAGCAGGAATAACTGCTTTGTCTCCACTTGGGAATCTAAAACCTCTCCATACTATACAATGTGACTGACATTTAACAAAGTTCTGCATAAAACTGGTTTTTACTGTGGAGCTGATGAAGCTTTACCCAGAGAGACTGGGTAAAGTGTGTCTCGCGTGGAAGTTTTTTGCACGTCCTTTTTCTTGACCAACACTTTATTTTCCCTCTTTTTCATAAGATAAATACCCTCTATGAAGCAGAACCTGAGGGGCACAATTTAGAGGTATTAGGTGACCTAGTTCTGCCATTCTGATGCCTTTGAAATAAATTGTTTTGGTCTTTGGTATCTCCTTTGCACTGACTGTATTGCTGCAAAGTAACTCCCATTTTAATATACGTGAGGATTTATGGTCCAGATTTGCACACACTTGGACTGCCTAGGACATTTTAATCAGCATATTGACATCCCAACTGATAGGTTTGCTTTTATTTCCAGGTTCATGGAACAGCACCAGACATTGCAGGCAAAGACATGGCAAATCCAACTGCTCTCCTCCTGAGTGCTGTGATGATGCTGCGTCACATGGGACTACACAAACATGCCACAAAAATAGAGTCAGCTTGCTTTGATACCATTAAAGATGGAAAGGTAATAGGAAGGGGTGCAAATAAATGCAGTGAACTAAAATCATATTATATCACAGCAAAAATTCACTCAGAACATGACCACCAGAAGGGTGGCTGACCTGCTGTGCTGGCCTCTTGCATGAGCAGTGCCACTGTCCTTCTCTGACAGTAATTATATTATCTTTGGTGGTATTAAGCCTGCCCTTCTCAGTAATAAAGGACAGGCTGTAGCATTCCTGGTGTCTCAGTAATGCTCATCTCACATTTCTACAGCTTTGTCAACTCTAAAAGCTTGAACTGGATGTCTATTTTTCAGGGAGGGGATTAGAGGTTTAAGTAACTAGTAGCATTTCACTTATAAAGTTTATAAAACATATACAATGCATATATATTTAAATCTGGATCCTGAAGTGAAGGACACTCCTTTGCCTTTCACAGGCCTTAATCACCCACTTAGTTTATAGCGTTCCAGTCCTGACTGTAATACCTCTGTTCCTATTTTTTTCAGCTCAGTTATTTTCTTTTTTTCTTCCTTACTGCTTTTACTCCTTTTTGAACTACAGTTTTTATCCAGTATTTACCTTTTCCCTTAAGATTATATAGGATTTCCCTTTGGCAGTAAGTGTCTCTAGATTTAAGACTCAAATAGGGTATTTGGGGGGGTGAGGAAGGACTTATGCTCTGAAACTTGACTTGAACTTGTGCTCTTACCATTATTGGTTCACTGCTCTGCTTTGATGTCCATCTTTTCAAAGCAAAGTTGGAAAGATCCTGGAGCTGGCAGTTAAGGAGGATGAGCAGTTAGCCATGCTGGTTCAGGACCACAAGAAGCTGCTTGGTAATTAAAATAACAAGCATGCTGAAACCAAAAGTTGTCATCACTTTGCAAGGGGTCTGTTTGCAGCTACCTAACTGTGTTAAAAAACACCTAAACTTACAAGTGAATAAAGGGGTGCTCCTGTAAAGTTCCCATTTACTGCTCTGGCAGTGGAATCCTCCATCTGCAGGTCAGTAATTCTATGGAAGATAACACAGAGCAAGTTTTGTGACATGGGTAGTTGTTCCCCAGTTACTTACAACGTTATGATTACATGCTCACAATGGAGAGAATCTTTTTATTTGAATTTTAATGCAGTTAAAATTATAAGGTCTTACAACAGTAACCTTGATGGCTTCTCATGCTGCTATTCCTCCCTCCCCTCAATCATTTAATTAAGAGACGTGTGTGTCATGTAAGGGGGAAACTAATGATTTTAAATTATCTCCCAGACTGCTTTAATCTAGGTTAGACCAGCGGTGTTGCCCACTTTTTATTTTACTCTCTTAAAGCTCCCAGACAAGAGTTGTACTTGATGACAAAGATGTTTAACTCTACATTTTCCATCTCTTAACTAAACTAAGCAAACCTAAAGAATTGTTAACATGTAGCATTGTTATGTGTGCTTTTTCTGTGTGGGTTTCCTTCAAACAAACAAAACAAAGCAAAGGAAAAATAAACTCTTATGAATTACTCTCAATTAGTGCTGAGCCTTCATATATGAATTCTACTTCCAAAGGACAAACTTCTTACTGAAAGCTTAAATACTTAACAGTTAATTACATTATTATGGAGCCAAAGGACTTTGTAGAGCTTTGACCAAACACACTTTCTTCCTGCAGTTAAGATAAAATCACGTTCAAATTTGATAACATTAAAGTACTTCATGTTGATCCTCCAGTTTCTGTGCCTGTGCCAGTCCTTCCTGCTGAATTCTGTATGGGCTGCAGAACTCCTCAAACGTCCCGTGTTCCTTCTCACCCCTATTTCCTATCCATGCACAACATATCAGAACATGTAGAACCGTTCAGGGACAGGACTATCCCCATGAAACATCTCAGTAATACTATTTTTTCTTCCTTTCAGGTCTTGACAAAGGACTTGGGGGGCAATGCCAAGTGCTCGGAGTTCACAGACGAGATCTGCCGCAGGGTACGGGACAAGGACTAAACTTCCCTCACCCCGACTCCTGGAGGACGTGTCACACACAGAGTACATTATGTGTAACTTGATATCCATATGCAGATAGTTTGCTTATCTCTTGAGAGCAAACTTTTTAGTTAAGGCCTCTCCATTAATAAATTTAGTCCAAATGGCTACAAACGATGCTTGTGCCTGCTTTCAGTGGACTTTTCCAAGTGCTTTGTCTTATTTATTTTTTTTTTCTATCTGGTGAACATTTTTATGTAAGTGAATTCTTTTATTGGCACTGTAACTGTCTACCATTTTCCATTTCAGTTAGAGGGTTTTACTTTCCACAAAGAAAAATTATGCAACTATAAACCAGTAACAGAAGTAGTGAAATGTAAAAGCACCTTAATGGTTAAAACCTGCTTTATTGGTCTTGCTGAAGTTGGAAAGGTTTCCAGCCTAACAGTAGCACAAGGTGACCTTCAGAAACAGAAACGGGTATAAAATAACTTAAAATAGCAATTTCATGTTAAAAGCAACGAGAAAACCACATTAGATACTCTGGTGATGAAATATAGCCCTGCCCACCAAAGGCATGAATAAAGAAGTACAAAATTCTAGAGATTTAATCTATTTGTGTACTTTAAAAAAGCCCACAACCATTAACTAGCAAAGGGTGAGAATTAACGCTGAAGCAAAGTTATTTTTCAAATCTAGATACCACAATAATTCTTACAAGTTTTCCCTCTCTGAAATACCCTTTCCAACGGAGTTCTAATGAGGGTAAATTATATAAAATTACCTCGGCCGTATATTGTGAAGGGAAAGTATTAACTTTGCAGATTTATCCTAGATATTTCATGACTTCTGCTAGAATGCTCTTTGTGTTGTAGCTTTCTGCATAGTCTGTTCAGTGTGTTCTACTGTATTGACTGGTAATTTTATCCAAAACTGAATGTAAGGGACTAGTCCTAAAGGGATTAAGACAGATCAGCGGTTTGGCTCTGGTGCCTATGTTCCAGAAATACATTTCATCCCTATTCAAGGGGATCCAAGACTTATTTTTTTCCTTGCTTTCTAAGCTTAACAGGTGCAAAAACAACTCTTCTCCCTCCCTCCTTCATCACGTGCAGATGGTCATACGAGTCATTCTGACCTGTATGTCCAAAGGTATCTTCCATCAGTGCCCCCAACGAGAAAATGTGTATTTTAAAACTCGTTAGTATAGCACAGGATTATCCCTACTGCCAGAACCAGGCTTCTTAAAGCTTAATTCTATTAATAGAAAGTCACTAAGTGGAGTAATATCTATTAAGACTGTTTTAGGCTGGTTGTTTCAGAGGTGAAATCGTTTCTGAGTAACGTGGCTCTACAAAGTGAGCATCCCAGCTTTTTTATACAGTCTAACAACATGTTGGAGGAGCTTTATTCCTCAGGCACTCTGCTTTTGGTGAATAGGGCAACATTTCTTTCCGTGTTTTACAAGCTGCTGCTTCCTTGTTTCCTTCGGATTAATATTGTCAAAGAACCTCTGAATGACCATTGCGCACAAAATGGGGAAGAATAAACTTTTCAAAGCCCTCTTGCTTGTTTTGTTTTTATAATCTTAGCCTGCTGCCTTGTCTTGTGTGTTGAGCTGGTTATTGGTACTTGCAGCAAATCTTAAGTCTACAAGATGAGCCTGGTAGTGGAACTTCCATGGAAACAGTCTCCTGTTCCGCAGCACGTTTTCCTCTCAGGAACAGTGGCTGGAGCTGCCTGCCAAGGGTCACTCACAGCACACCCCTGACACAACTGTGCCAAGCATGTCCTCCACGTAACATGATTTATTTTTCATAGGGGTAAGAAGAAATGCAGCTCCAGAATTAGTACAAAGTGAGTGTTGGCACACGCAGCTCCACGCCAACAAACACTGCTTAAAGAAAAGCACTGTAAACAATCTGAGAGAAGTTTCTGTTCTAAACAGCACTCCCATGGAGAGCTCCTGTATTTGCTGCTTTTGTCTTCCAGTCTTGGGGAGTTATTCCCCCAACTTTTTTGATTATCTGTTTTTAGGAGAAATAGTAATGCTTATTCCAACACGGACTTAGAAATGAGCTGCTGTTTTCACAGAAGCCACTGCAGAAATGGAAGAGAAGCCTTTAGGTTCTGAAATGTGTTAGTGAACAACAAGAGACTCCTGTGTAGGAGGAGAAAACAATTCAGCCCTTTTGATTTTTTTTTTTTTAATAATTCTCGCTGGAGTGGTCTGGCAGTTTTATTAAGCAGTACTGCCAACTACCAAAATGTATCCTGAGCTATGGGCAATGGCCTGTGGAACAACAGGGAAAAAGGAAAATCACTATATAAAAAAAATGGTTTTCCAGTCTAGAGGAATTAATTAGTTATACCCAGTTTATACAACACAGAAGGATGTTCTAATCCTTTAGGTCATAAAGTAAAAATAGTATTAGAAAATGGACACACTGTAGATGCTTCTGTAAAAAGAGGACAAACGATCAGGTGAGTATCAGGAACAACTAAACTGACACAGGAACAACTAAACTGACACAGCAGCTTTCTAGTGGTTTGGTTCAATAGACTACAGACCCAAAAAAGGCATAAATCTCCATTAATGCTTTTGATTAGAAAATACTTTCTTTTGCTCACAGATCTTTCTTAATGCTTGGAGGAAAGGCTTCCTACTCTTCATAGAAGGAGTCTACTTCATTCCTGTATTTCTCGAGCACCATGAGCCGTTTCAGCTTCATTGTTGGACCTTAAAAGAGAGAGAGAGTCACAATACCAGAAATGGGAACAGAAATTCCTACCCACTTGGAGCTTTGGTGCCTGAGTTTTTTATTGAAGAGCCTGTTGGGAAGCACATGCTCCAGTTTGAGTGTAGATAAATGCTAAAAGTGAGAAGCCAGTGTAAGGCTGCCTCCATGTAAGCATGAGAACCTCAAAGGGAGCTGCAGATAAGAGGGTGATAACTGAATACTACTTTTTTTCATTAAAAATAAGGAGTGATGTTTTTGAAATTCCAAGTTCATTCAGAGAGCCTGGTGATGTGCTTCAGGCTCCATTATCAGGCTTTCACTGTCTTGCTTATCTTTTTTTTTTTAAATGAGAAACTTGCAGTATTATTACTGGAGGTTATTAATACTGCCCAAGGAATTAACCAAAATTGACTGCTTAATTACCCAAAGCAATCTGAAATTTAACTACAAGAGCTGCACTTGCAAATATGCACACAGCTAAAACTCCCATTTTTGTATTCTTTACCACAGACTGCAGAGTGTTTTGTCCCTTCCCTCTAATGGCTGTACCCAGAACCTGGCACGCAAAACAGTACCTCAATATAAATGAGTAAATCTTACCTAGTTCTCCCCCCGAAATGGAGAAATCCCTTGGCAGGACTGTCCATTTTTGAATACAGTGGACCCTGTTGGTGGCGTTCCTGTTGACTCTGTTGATTCCCTCCTGGATGGCCCCGTAGATCGCCCGGTCTCTGGTGGCTACAATCTCAGACACTTTAGTGGCTTTACTACCACTCTTCTGGCAGAAGTCTCTGGCTTCCTCAGTGAGAATGTCAGTGGGATCAGATGTGTCTGGGTCCAGCTCACTCTAAAATATCAAATGAAGTGAATCACCAAATGCTCCCTCTTAAAGGCATTAAAGGTTCCCTGATCGGGTCCTCCCCGACTGAGAAGGCTCAGCACAAACACACAAACACTCTGTAAGCATCAAAAAGCAGGAACACCTACAGATGGTGGTGCTTTTCTTTCCACTTGGCTACCAAATGCAAATATTTTTGGCTTATACGTACATGAACAGACTTGAAATGTGTGAATGAATCAGGCAATAGAGTCCATCTATAGACCTGGAATTTCTACCATATTTTCCAAATGACTCCATTGGTACAGAAAAACATTTAGCTCATCACTAAATGGAATTACTATGGTGTAATGTAAACAGCTTGAGATAGAAGCATTCTTTTAAGTTAGACTTCTTAAATTAGCATTTCTTTTGTGTCTGGAGATAGGGAGTATCAGTCACAGAGGTAAACAACTTGAAAAAACCTCAGTGTCAGTCACTCAGGTATGTACACAGAACACCAAGTGCAAATGTTTTAGGAAAACAGTGATTTCTCAATTGCAGAGAATTGTATACCACAGCAAGGCCATTAATTATTTTGTTCTACAGTCACCCTTCTTGTGTTATAAAAATAACTAGTTGTAGAGAAATGCTTCTGTTGGGAAGTTTCGGGGTTTGCCCATAACAGAAACATTTGTTGGCTTTGCTTGTCTGTCAGAATAAAACCTGTTATTGTACAGAGACTTCTCAATCTTTCAGCATTTCTTAATTGAAAAGTTTGCATTTAAATAGAAAATAGCTCTTATTATATACATAGGAGAAACAGCAGTGAATATGTAGATGTTTAGCAGATCATGTAAGCAGAAGTTTAGACCCAGCAGGATTTAGTTTGTGGTTGCTGTACATTTTCCCCCCTGCCAACATCTCCTATGTAATTTTAGGTCTTTTTACAAATGGTTCAAAATTATTCTTCTTTTAGGTGCAGGTGTGTAATGTCACCAAAAGCAATATTAAAACTGGTTTACCTTTAGGGTCAGGAACATTGACAAAAACTTCTTTTTATCCCCAATCACCATAGCATTACTAACAATGGGGAGCTCTTTTTTAACAGCATCTTCAATTGGAATTGGAGGCACGTTTTCACCTCCAGCTGTAATAATCAAATCTAGGCAAAAAAAGAAAGGCTATTAGTTGAACTCAAATAAATTCCAGGCTAATGTCTGGATTGACCTGCTCTCCTTATTCTGACATAAAGAACGAGAGAGATTTTTTTCTCAAGATGTTTTGCAAAGACAACAAATCCTACTAATTATCTTCAAAGAAAAATGCTACTATTTTTCAAACATGCTCAAATTCTCAGATCTCCCTCAGTATAACATATTTGGTCCAGATAATGTTTCACATAATCCAGTAACAGGTTATTCCCAAGGCACTGTTACATAACCTGGAATTTTTCTGTGAGACATCATCTCTTCCAAATTAGCAGAGGATTCACCTTCTGTTTTATGGTTGCTATCTCACCAAAAAGCAAATTCATTGTTAACATCATGATTAAAACCAATTCTTAAATCCACCAAGAGGGGTCAGACAAAAATAAGTTACTACTGCAGGAAGGCTCCACAAAAGAAAAGGAGAGAGGAGTGTGGGGGAGAAGCCAGGAGAGGAAATTTGCAGAGGAAGGAGCAATTCCTGCCCTACTTTTGACATGAGGGGAATGCAATGACAGACTGGAATCTTAATACCCTTAAGGTTTGGAAACAATGGTAGTGATACCTTATTCTGTTGATGAAGGAATGTGTATTTTTATTTGAATACCTTTGTTCTGAAATATGATATGTATATTCAGTGAAATTATTACAAATTTGACTATTCTCTAAGTAAATCCCAACTCTTTGCTTTCATTGCATTGGTGACTTCTCCCTGTCCTCAAAGAATAGTCTTTGCAGAATTTCAAAATGTGCTTCAACAAATAGTGCAGACAAATCTTCCCAGGCCTAACTTTTCCTCTCATTCCACCCTCCCTTTGCCATAGCCCTGTCTTTGTCTTAGACCCTCTACCAACCTCTGGCCCTCAGTTTTTCACTGTCTGAGTTGTCAGCTTTTTCCAGCTGACCCAGACAACTATAATAATTGCAACAAGTTTTTCACACCTCTAAAATACCCCCCTGTATGGATTTCTCCAGCTGCATCTTTGAGCTCATGAGCCCTAAAACTCATAAGACATGGATAAGCAAAGGAAGAAGTTCTCCTTGTAGTCACTATAAAAAAAAAGCTTTTCTATTAGATTTTACCTTATTTGGACTCTAATTTAAAACTTTAATGAAACTGGGCATATGGTTATTTTATCCCAGATGGTTTACTCATCCTGTAATTTAGAGTAATTGCTTTTAGTTCAGCAACCAAGGCAGATGTAAGAGAAACACAAATGTTCAGATGATTGAGACTAGGGGTTGTCAACTGCTACACTAAAGGAAAATTAATCAGACAAGAAAGTAAGTTAAAACCAAGATATCTGCATTTGGTGCAGCCTATTAATAGTACCAACCTAAGTCCTGATTCCCAGCAGGACATGATGCCACCTGTGACAGATTCACTCATCCACGTTATCTCCCTCGTGATTCATTCTGTGTTCTGAGATGATACTCAATTCTTAAATTTTCTTCAGACTCATCTTGCCTGTGACCAATCCCACTCCTTGAATGTGTTTTGTGAAAAAAAGCTCCCAAGTAACCAAGTGACCAGTGTGACTGTCATTGACACTTCTGTCAGTGTTTTGTAATAACACCTCACTTCATTGCTTTAGCTTTAACTTTCCCCTCTGCTCTCAAGCTTCAACCCTCTGAAAAAACATCACCTGAGGCATCAGAGGAACCTACCTCTGACCTACAGCAATAGCTTCCAGACAACACAGGTGTCCTCTCCTTACTGTCTAAACATTCTAATGTGCAATTAGGACAGTTTAGCAAGATTCAAAGGGAGCCTGGACAGCTTCATGAATCATTCAAA